CATCCTGAGCCCAACCCTACATTGAGCCCAACCCAACCCCGCCCGGACCCCAACCCTGCCCTGAACCCAACCCTGTCTTGAGCCCAACCCTGCCCTGAACCCAATCCTATCTTGAGCCCAATCCCACCCGTAACCCTACCCTGCCCTTACCACAACCCTGCCCTGAGCCCTACCCTGCCCTGAACCCAACCCAACCCAGCCTGGACCCCTACCCTACCCTGAGCCCTACCCCGCCCGTATCCCCAACACTGCCCTGAGCCCTACCCTGCCCTGAACCCAACCCTGCCCTGAGCCCTACCCCGCCGGACCCCAACCCTGCCCCAACCCCAGCACGCCAACATGTAAAATATGAATTGGCCCTGCATAAGGCCCTCTGGGTAGCGTCAAATGTCAGATCACCGTTTGCCCCCGTCTCCCATGTGACCTTAATTACAGCCAATCATAACCCGCGTCCTTAATTTGAGGAACTCCGTGATTCACTTCTCGGAAAAATCTATGAAGTTCCATTGGGATCATTTTTTGCATTATTTTTTGTTTTTGCTTTTTTTTCCCTTGCTAATTTTGACCGATTGTGTTTGCATACGAAACAACATATTCCAGCCTACATCATGATGTTGTCTAGTGATTGGAAAAACGTACTTTATTATTTCTGTTTTGATTCCTCCCGTCTGATAGGAACACACATCCAAATATGGTAATATACAGTGTAAAAATGCAGATGAGCGTATGAATCTTATTACGTCTGCGTGATGTCGGGGCGGAACTTAAAACAGCGGCGTTCTTTCGTCAGGCGTCTTTAACTCTTGGTCTGGGTGTAGCTTTCATTTTAGGGGTTTGTGCAGGTTTTATTTGAGGGGGTTTGTGTAGATTTTATTTTAGGGGTTTGTGCAGGTTTTATTTTAGGGGGTTTGTGCAGATTTTATTTTAGGGGGTTTGTGCAGGTTTTTTTTTTAGGGGGTTGTGTAGGTTTTATTTTAGGGGTTTGTGCAGATTTTATTTTAGGGGTTGTGCAGGTTTTATTTTAGGGGGTTTGTGCAGGTTTTATTTTAGGGGGTTTGTACAGGTTTTATTTTACGGGGTTTGTGCAGATTTTATTGTAAGGGGTTGTGCAGATTTTATTTTAGGGGTTGTGCAGGTTTTATTTTAGGGGGTTTGTGCAGATTTTATTTTAGGGGTTGTGCAGGTTTTATTTTAGGGGTTTTTGCAACTTTTGTTTTTAGGGGTTTGTGCAGATTTTGTTTTAAAGGGTTTGTGCATGAGATCTAAAGATGATAGGTGCACAGTAACGATGTAAACACACCTCGCATAATACGAACACACCTCGCATAATACGACCACACCTCGCATAATACGAACACACCTCGCATAATACGAGCACACGTATGAATGTGTAATGAATAGATATGTGTACAGGTGTCATGCATTAAAAATTAGATACGTGACTTTTTCTGTTTGTTTTTTTAATAGTCATGATCTATATACCGAGTGAGCCATAAAGGCTGACTGGCCCATGTTATGTGACTGGGCCATGTAATGTGAGTGGGCCATGTTAAGTGACTGGCTCATGTTATGTGACTGGGCCATGTTATGTGACTGGGCCATGTTAAGTGACTGGGCCATGTTATGTGACTGGGCCATGTTAAGTGACTGGGCCATGTTATGTGACTGGGCCATGTTATGTGACTGGGCCATGTTATGTGACTGGGCCATGTTATATGACTGGCCCAACCTCCAACCACACCAACCCTTATCACCACCCATCCCACCCATTCCTTTATCGCCAACCTACCCCACCCCTTCCTTCCCCACCCACTCTTATCAATACAACCCCCCCCCCCGAACCCTCTTATTCCCTCCTCTCCCTTATCCCTACCCGCCCCATCCTCTCCTGTATCCCCACCCATCCCTTCTCCCCACCCCTCCTTTACCCCAACCCCACCCCACCCATCCCTTATCCTAAAGTGTGTCTCTGTCTGACACTTCGAACAGAAATAATTGACGTCAAATAACATCCGTGCTCTCAATTTAAACAAAAAAAAAAAGACATTTCCCCCCAAGTAGAGTTGTCCCCGCTCCTCCCAGCAAAAACACAACACATTATACAGACACAAGAGAGGACAACTTGTTTGGTAAAACGGGAAACCGTCTTTTGGTTGTCGGTCCTTGTATAGCAACCCACCCCAACCCCCAAGACAGTATTGAACAAACAGGTTGAGCTTCTGCCACGTGACATGAAGATGACGTGACGGTTATCACGTGGTCTCCGACACGCAATCTGCTGCTATATGTTTCAAATATTTTTACTTTCTCGTATATACGTAGTATAGAGAAAGTATTGTAATCGTGCAAAAAAAAAAAATCGAGATTTTTACAAATCTCGACGTTTTACACCTCACTGATACGGAAAAACATAATTTTGCAATCTTGTCCGTATGTCTGTGTGTGTGTGTGTCTGTCTGTCTGTCTGTCCGTGTGTAAACACGATAACTTGAGTACCGTTACAGCTAGGTTGATGAAATTTCATATATAAGTATTTTATCAAAATCGTAGATCCGTATCAACTTTTGAGCGATTTCCGATAACCGGAAGTGGTACTTTTCCTACTTTGAATTTTTTAAAAGCCTATAACTTGAGTACTATTTCAGATAGATAAATGAAATTTCACATGTAAGTAAAAGATCTAATTCTCTACCTTCTGTTAAATTTTGAGTAATTTCCGTTGACTGGAAGTAGTAATTTACGCTACTTCCGATTTCTCAAAAAACTAATGTAAATTTTAAAAGTACTAATAATATTGCGCACTATTATGCGCTTTTTTTTATTTGCGTTCACTTGGTGTGCAATTAATTTGTCTACGAGATTTTATTCTATTTTTAAAACTTTAAGTATTTAAAATGGATTAAAAATCATGTCTATAGCCCGAGTTTCCATCCCCTGTTATTTTATATAAGAATATTCGAGAAAGTTTAGGGGAGATCACTCCCGGTTTATTTCTAAGACATTTTTGCATAATGTCATGAGAAGCGGTTCTTCTTCATGTGATGTTTAATATTGTATCAAACTCTAGAACTTGTATCAAAGCGCATCTCCGATATGTTGGCTAACATCAAGGCACAGTTTATAGCTTATGTTGTTTTTTTTTGTTGATGTTTCGTAAAGTTTCTGAAAATCTCATTTAATGGAGATGTAATTTAATACAGACTTTTTTTTTTAGTGTAAATATTTTAACTTTTTGTGTTGCATCCAAGCTTTTAATAATTCAGATATTCAGTTCTAAAACAATACCCTTATGTAAACAAAAACCTACTCCGGATCATTTTAGCATGTGTTCGTTTTATATATATATATATATATATATATATATATATATATATATATATATATATATATATATATATATATATATATATATTTAACCAAGGAGTATGCAAATGGTTAAAGAACAAAAGGAGCGCATAAGACAAAAATGTACTACTTCAGTTTTGTTAGGTTTTTTTTTTTAAATGAGTATATTTGGTACGTGCGGGTTCTCATACTTCCAAAAACAAAAGTGATTGGACGCAAGGTTACACACACTGCTAGGGGCTAGAAAAATCTGGCGTAGCTGGCTGGCAGTAAAGGTTGCCAGATGTGCCTGGTACATGATTTGGGCTGATGTGCCTGTAGGACACGTATCGAATGGAACGAGGGAGATTGCTAGAAGATTACATTCACAACAAAGCCACAGATCTTTGTCCTGTGGTATTGATTACACACAAAACACGTCCTTATACTGTAAACTATCTAGAACATGATCTTTATCTGCTAACCTTTAACTATAACTTAAGTTTTACACTAGTTTTAAAAGTGACACATTTTTACAATGCTTGATTTCGCATGATAGACATCAATAGAGCAACTTCTGAACACACCTTATATTTTGTGTGAGTACAATACGGTCCTGTGCCCACAAGAAACGACGGTCAATGGCGCGTTACTTAGCAGTAGCATTCTTTGCCTGGAAACTTCAAATATTTCTGAAAGTTCAAAGAAAATGTAAACAAACCAGTCATGCGTGTATCACGTGACCACCAGTATTGTGTTTTAGTTTAGTTGTGGATGTCACGTCCTTGGTAACCATGAATAAATAACCTCGTTAAACGGATGCTAACAAAAGGGCCCTCGCTGTGATGGTGGCCCATGAACACTTCGTGCTATTGGTTGGTCATTAGACATTCATCTTTCATGTCATAGGCATCTCATGATCCCTACTTACGTCATAAGACATTCATCTTTCATGTCATAGGCCTCTCATGGTCCCTACTTATATCAAGTTAGCTGACAAGCAGTGACTGGCTGTGACAAATATTTTGACCCACTACCCACCCGTTTACCCATAGATCTACCTCAATCCCCCACCCCTTCCCCTTCCCCGTAACTGAATCTATTTCAATCCCAGTCCTGCTAGCACCATCCAATTTCACCCCCCCCCTCCTACTCCACCCCCCCCCCCAACTTCCCCCCCCCCCCCCCCCCCCGCTTTTTAAAAAATATCTGAATACAAAATCCCTAAAGACAGGCGGTGACCATCACAGAATTTATTACCATCCACCTCCCCTCCACCATCCACCTCCGCTCACGACACCTCCCCCATCTCTCACACCTCCCACACAACCCTCAACCCACATCGTTTAAAATGTGTTGACAATAGAGTCGAGTCTAATAGAATAACTACTTTTTCATGTAATAGAAAGGGAAACAACTGGTGTATTTCGATGTTGATTAAGGAAACATTATTTGTTTCCCTTGCAAGGTTTGCTGTGTTTTTAAAAAAATAGGCCAACCTTTTTTTTTTAAACAAAACCCGCTGAAGTATTAAGTAACGTTCTCTTATTAAAAAGGTTTTGTTTATGAACATCTTAAGATCAGTGTATTATAAATTAATTATAAATTAATTATAAAAATGTCGCCTATTTCCAACACTTCTAATTAATTAAGTTCTTTGATTTTTCCTCCATCAGGATGGCAGCCGGTGTGTCGATCTACGCGTCACTACTCACCAGGATGTTTCTAGTCCTTGCTATCTGGACACTGTCCACCCAGTGTCTGGCACTGACTCACACAAGCCACCACACCTCCATCCCCACAGTCAACCCCTTCACCGACTACATCTGCCCCAACCAGTGCGCGTGTTACATCCAAAACGAGGTACGTCGACTGTGTTTTTATACCTTTTAATTGCTGCTTAATACTTTACTTTATCATTAAATGTGTAGAATATATCTCAGCGTTGTAAGTGAATAACTATTATTATAGAAAAAAAAAACATCAAAATAATGTTTCGACCTGAAGTCTTCATCAACTTTATAAATCACCTACCTACGTTTCAGACCAACTCACTCCCCATGATTTTGGTCAACTGTACCGTGGCCTACTTTTCACCTGACCTGCCCTCCGTCACGACACTGTTACGTCACATTGCCAACCCTCACACAGGCACTGCAATGTTCACCTGCTCATTCAGGTAGGTTGTCCTGTAAGGTAGAATCACCTTTTTAGGTAGTCTCATTTTGTTTATATCTGTCGTATGTTTATTGGTGTAAATATTTTGAGAACTCAACGAAATTAAAAGTCACCTGACAATAAGATGACGTTAATGTTTTCTGAATTCCGTGACAAAACGTACTTAAATTACGAGAGTTAAATGCAATAGACTACAATGATAAAAGTTTAGGGTTTTTAAATGTCTGATGTCCGTCTCTCGTGTTTACATTGTTACATTCACTTTCTGAAAACAAGTTCAAGTTTCCAGCATTTCGTAATGTTTTGTCATATTAGTTTCCACTTTTGTAGTTAACCTTTCACAACCAACTATAATGAGCAATTTGATATTATAATGCAGTATATCAACTAGACAATTATAAATACACAGAAAACTTTAAAATAAGGTTAAAGTTATATTTTCTAGACAGCGCTTATAGTTTAGAGATGTTGCTGTTTTTGGGCGTTGTGTAAAAAAAAACACAAAGATGCATCTTAGACCTAGCGATCCATAGGGTAGATGAGGTAGAGTTCACAAGTTTTGTGACCTCAGCATATTCCCTTACTTGAGTGTGGTAATCACAACAATTATTCTTCCATCTCTGTGAATATCCTACCATCTAAACTTGCCCAAACCTAACCTATCCTACCATCTAAACTTGACAGCATCATCAACATCCACGACCCACAACCGGAATCCCAACTTTGGAGCGGAATGTTTGACCAGCTGGCCAACCTGAGAGAGCTCACCTTTACAAGATGTGCATTCAAAAACCTGTACAGGTAGGCAGTCCTCTAGTCTCTACACGTCTTCACTCTTTGAGACAACTACTAGCTAACTGGTGTCGTCATGCATGACTTGTATTAAATTGTACGGTGGTATATTCATATTACATTTATATTTCCAGGAGCGCTTTCCTCGGTCTGCGATCTCTGACGAAGCTTCAGATCCAGCAGGCTAACCTGAAGTTCGTTGACCCGGAGCTTCTGACCTTCCTCCCCAGCCTGCAGGTTCTGGAAGTCTCCAACAGCTCTCTCTCCCACCTGTTTCCTGTCTGCCAGGCCAAGTCGTTGAAATCTCTAAGACTCTCCATGAACGAGATCCAGAAGTTCGAGGACGCGGGTCTGTTCTGTAACCAGACGCATCCATCAATGTTGGAGGTTGTTGACCTCTCAGCAAATCAACTTACCAAAGTCCCTCAGTGGTTTTCTTCTAGCTTGCCGCACGTGTTTGTACTGTCTGTAGCCAACAACTCCATCTCCTATTTGGAGAACTTTCCCTTCGAACATTCTGGGAATATGTACCAATTAGACTTGACAAATAATGAAATCAACGACTTCAACTCGGGCGACTTCCACGGTCTGGTGAACTTGCGCTATTTGAAGATCTCGGACAATGACGTGTCCAGCTTGCCCAGACGTTTCCTGTCCAGTGTTTCTTCCATAGCTGGTCTAGAGATGGCCAGCATGGGGCTGGACGAGAACGTGTGGATGGAGCTGACCAACCTGAACTCTCTAATGGAGCTAGACTTGTCCAACAACAAGATCTCCGCTATCAATATGGAAGTGATGGGGCAGTTTTTGAAACTGGAATCCCTTTCGCTACGGAACAATAATATTTTATTTGTCCACAAGGACACATTCGTCAACCAAACTCGGCTGGCACAGCTCGATCTCTCGAGCAACAACCTCTTTGATGTCCCAGAGAGTTTGTTTAGAAGGCAGTACCTGCTGAAGCACCTTCTCCTGGGCTACAACAGGATCAAAAGCATTGGCCAAGACGCCTTCGCCGAGCTGAAGCAGTTGGCAAGGCTAGAGCTGAAATATAACATGCTCACCAACCTGCCCACCCGAGCTCTCTACAGCCTCACCAACCTAGTCAACCTTGACCTTTGCTGCAACACCTTGACCACGCTGGAACCCGACCTTCTGGCTAAGACAAAAGCCTTGACCTACTTTAACGTGTCCTTCAACAACTTGAAAGAGATTCCAGTCCTCAGCTACGCCGAGTCCCTGCAGGTCGTAGACCTCAGCAACAACGTCATCACGTCCTTGCTGCCAGTCACATTCCAAGACCTGCAGGCACTCAAGAAGATCGTCCTGAGCAACAACCAGCTGACATCGCTGCACGTCCGACAGTTTAAAGGCTGCGAGAGCCTCGAAGTCCTTGACCTCTCGTCCAACTCATTAAATAAATTAGACGTCGACATCTTCACGTTTGTCAAGAGCATCGTTGAGATCAACTTGTCCAATAACCAGCTGACTAGCTTCAGTCAGGAGTTCATGTCTCTGGTTAATTTAAAAATCTTAAATTTATCTGGCAACAAAATCACACAAACGTATCGTGGACAGTTCCCCAACCATGTCGAGATCATCGACCTGAGTAGGAATAACATTGCCAATATTAAAGTCCACACGTTCAAGTCTCTCAAAAAGATTGTCAACGTGAACCTGAGCTACAACAACTTGACCACCTTGTCCAGACTGGGCGTTGAGATCGATATCCATTTAGGTTACAGTCCATCGTTTGATCTGTCCTACAATCCGTTTGTATGTGACTGTAGCCTTGGCTGGCTGAAGGACTGGACCGAGGGGAAACTCAAAGACCTGGGGAACCTCCCAACCTTTAAAATGCCGTTCTCTTTTCGCTGCCACGCCCCCATGTATTCCAGCTTGAAGGTGCTACAAACTCTCCGACGCGACGAGTTCTTGTGTCCCTACAAGATCATCTGCGAGGAGAACTGCATGTGCTGCGACTACGCTGCCTGCCACTGCAAGTACCACTGCCCGAGCTCCTGCAACTGCTTCATCGGCGACGACCACCTCAACATCCATCAAGTCTTCTGCGACTCAGCCAACCTGACCAACATCCCCATCGGTCTGCCAGAAGGCGCCACCCAACTACGTCTCGACGGCAACAACATCTCAACGCTACAGCAGCACACGTTCCTGGCACTGAAACACGTACAGGAACTCTATCTCAACAACAGCCAGATCTACTTCATACAGAACAACACGTTCAAAGGTCTCAAAGCTGTCCAGGTCATATACCTAAATAACAACAATCTCTTCTCAATCCCAGCCATTGTGTTTAAAGGCCTAGACCTTCTTGAAAAACTCTACCTTCAAAATAATGACTTACATGTAATAGAAAGCAATGCTTTCCTCAACCCAATGAAGCTGAACCTGGTCAATTTACAAAACAATGCGCTAAGTTCTGTATCCCTGGATGAGATCTGGGGTTTGACGAACCGTTCTACAGCTCTGGGTCTCAGACCGAGCATCTTCCTCAGCGGAAACCCCTGGACGTGTGACGCAGACTTTGTTTGCAACTTCCTGCACTTTCTGCGCGTGAACTCTATGTACGTGCCGGACAGTTCGGACGTGGAATGTGTCGCTCCTAATCCCACAGACAAACCACAACAAGGTGGCAGACAAGAGGGACTTGTCAACATGCAGTTCGAAATATGCGCGGACAACCAGGCCAACTTCACAAACCTGACCAGAACAGTGGCGCAAGCTTCTTCAGCTAAAACTGAAACATACGCTCTCATCGCCGCCTGCGTTGTCATTTCTTTTGGTCTTTTTCTTTTAATAGTGGCATACTTCAACAGAAACTTTCTGCAAGTTCTGTGTTTTACAAGATTCGGCCTGAGAGTGTTTAAAATGGCGAAAGGCATAGACGATAACGAGCGTCCGTATGACGCCTTCATCTCCTACAGCAACAAGGACGAGGAGTTTGTCATCCAGCAGTTGGCGCCCAGGCTGGAGAACGGCCACAAGAAGTTCAGGCTGTGCGTGCACTACCGGGATTTCCCGGTCGGCGCGTGTATCGCCGAGACGATCGTGCGCAGTGTCGAGGCCAGCAAAAGAACGATTCTAGTGGTGTCTGACAACTTCTTAGACTCGGAATGGTGCCGGTTTGAGTTCCAGACTGCTCATCAGCAGGTCCTGAACGAGCGCCGAAACAGGGTGATACTCATCCTCATGCATGACCTTGACACCGAGAAGCTGGACAGCACGCTGAGGGTGTACATGCGCACAAGGACATACTTGAAGTACGATGACCCCTGGTTCTGGGAGAAGCTCATGTTCGCCATGCCCGACGTCCGGCCGCGGAAACAGGAAATTCCGTGCAGGATTCAGGTGAACAGGGACATGACCTACATGCCGCAGGGTCAGCAGGTGTTTGACCAGCAGCCACGGATCCGAACCCGGCACCTGGTGAACGGGCACCTGTGCGAGACGATCCACAACGACATGTACGAGATCCCCGTCATGGAGACGACCAGCGGTCACTACCAGCTGGCCAACGGTGTCTGCTGCAGCACCCACACCAACTCCGCCTACCACAACTCGGACGGCAGCGACAGCACATCCGGGTACCATAACGGCTCCATCAGCGGGAGCTACGGCCACTACGAGGAGGTGGGGCCGGGCTCCACCTCCATACAGAGCACCCCCCAGAAACTGATCGGCACCCCTCCCCCCGTGCCGTCCATACCCAAAGAAGGTTTCCTGCCCATCAGCCGTGCCCGGACCGCGTACGTGTAAATAATTCTCAGAAAAAAAACAATCAGTATTTAGCAATTCTTGCAGAATAAAAGACAGAAGCCAATTGTATAAAGACAAACTTTCTTTCATAGATTTGATTTTATCGTTGCAGTATGTTTTATTGATGTAAATATATGTATAGTCCTGAATTGGTGTAAATAGCAGTTTAAAAGCTTGCCATTTTTAACTTGAATGCTTTATAAGAAATTGTATGTAATGTTTTATAAGATGTTTCCCTGCCAAAATACTAGTTGTTATGTCAGATGTTTTCTCTCGTAAATCTTTCAAGTTGTCAATTTTATGATGTTGTTTCATTGTTTCAGTGGAATCTCAATGCAAATGGCTCATCAAATATATTTTAACTAATTTTAAAAGAATTGAATCTAAATCTAAGCAAAGAAAAATTTTAATTTTACAAAATGTTAGCTTGTTGGGTATCTAATGAAAAAAAATAAAGATTTGTGTGATTTATATTATACACTTTTTTAGACCTAAGTAAAATTTATTGTCATTGATAAATTTTTATAAAAAAAAAAAACGATCTCAGACGCATTTTAATTTATTCTTCAAAAGAAAAACAGTTTCTACCATGAATAAGGTAGATAAAAATTCGGTTCTTGAATATATCAACTAAAAGTAAATTAAAATAGTAAAACGCTTCTTTCTAATGATTGAAATAGTTTGGTCGTTATCATAGTATTTAAGACCATTTTCTTGTTATCGATGTTTTTATTTGAACTAAGGTGTGATCAAGATGATTAGTTTCCAGTGTTTAGCCTTAGCGCTGTTTGTTTTTTGAGCTCTGGATAGCATGAGTCACATTATTCTCTGTATAGCCACTCTACGCAGAAGTTCGACAATCGGTAAATACGAATTTAAAATAGATGATGGTATTTTAAAAAGCAAAATTTGAGATTATTTGTTTAATTTTTCAAAGTAAATATTTTGAGATGAATTTGATAACACTGAATATTTTAGTGGGATGGGAAGTAACTGTGGTATTCCTAATTGTGATGTGTCAAAGCCATGTAATTCAAATACTGGTTGAGCTTAATACTAGCACAACCTGCAGATTGAGACAAAATTTATTGTACTATATTCGGAGAGCTAAACCGAAAAGAAGACAAAATTTCATATACGTAAATTTATTCTGATTGCTGTAAAACCGCTAATATTTATGTAATCGGCACAGTGCTAAAGCAAGGATAAATATTCTGTCACATTATTTAGATGCTGAGGATTTATATGATTCTGATGTCACGATGACTATTATTTGTTTCATTAATAAATAAAGTAGATGTATTTTACTAAAAAAAAATACTTATTTAGCACAGCGATATAAATTTATTACAAATGATTGAATATGTTGTGCTGTAGTGGCCTTATGTTCAAAGAATTAAATCATGCTCTCTAGTATGTAGACTATCCACTTTATACATGCTTTTTTTTTTTAAACTATAATTATGACTGGTATTTGTGTTACTAGATGCAAGGCATAAAGCAAACTTTTGAAATCCATAATATGTTTGTGTATGTATCCAAAAGAAGTTTTATTTCTTTGTTTAAAATTGTGTAAATGGCATACGACAGTATTCAAACAGGGTAAGAGCGCTTTTGTAATCTTATTTTAGTTTTGATGTTTTTATCTACCTGAGTGACGTTTTAAAACAACATAACTTGCTTTATTCAGTGATAAGCGTACAATGTTTAGAGGTGTTTCCGGTTAGGTGATTTTAGACCTGGGGTGGGGTGGTTGTTTTTTTTAAAGTTAGTCCCTATTTACCTATAACTTAACTGAAATCAAAACTATGACACCTGCGAAATTAGATGATGTAGCCCTTCTAAAACTGTGATGACCCAAACATTTCTTAATGTTTTATAGCGGTAAATAAACCATTCCCTAGGCTATACGGTAAACAGACCGTACCCTAGACTATGAGGTAACTAGACCGTACCCTAGACTATGAGGTAACTAGACCGTACCCTAGACTATGAGGTAACTAGACCGTAGCCTAGACTATGAGGTAACTAGACCGTACCCTAGACTATGAGGTAACTAGACCATACCCTAGACTATGAGGTAACTAGATCTTACCCTAGACTATGAGGTAACTAGACCGTACCCTAGACTATGAGGTAACTAGACCGTACCCTAGACTATGAGGTAACTAGATCTTACCCTAGACTATGAGGTAACTAGACCGTACCCTAGACTATGAGGTAACTAGACCGTACCCTAGACTATGAGGTAACTAGACCGTCCCCTAGACTATGAGGTAACTAGACCATACCCTAGACTATGAGGTAACTAGATCTTACCCTAGACTATGAGGTAACTAGATCTTACCCTAGACTATGAGGTAACTAGACCGTACCCTAGACTATGAGGTAACTAGACCGTACCCTAGACTATGAGGTAACTAGACCGTACCCTAGACTATGAGGTAACTAGACCGTACCCTAGACTATGAGGTAACTAGACCGTACCCTAGACTATGAGGTAACTAGACCGTACCCTAGACTATGAGGTAACTAGACCGTACCCTAGACTATGAGGTAACTAGACCGTTCCCTAGACTATGAGGTAACTAGACCGTTCCCTAGACTATGAGGTAACTAGACCGTTCCCTAGACTATGAGGTAACTAGATCTTTCCCTAGACTATGAGGTAACTAGACCGTACCCTAGACTATGAGGTAACTAGACCGTACCCTAGACTATGAGGTAACTAGACCGTTCCCTAGACTATGAGGTAACTAGACCGTTCCCTAGACTATGAGGTAACTAGACCGTTCCCTAGACTACAAGAGTACTGAATTATTAAAACACATTAAAACACTAATTGCAGTCGGCTGGTATGACGTCATTGGCATTTGGTTTGATAAACATAGACTAAAACGTGATTGGATTTAATTAGTTTACAGCCCCGGGGTGGGCATTAGGTGGACGGAGGGTGATTTGATATTTGTTGGGGGGGGGGGGCAAACTGTGGTGGTTGTGTCAGAAATAGTGTGGGTATATGGGTGGGTGTGGTAAAATATAGTGTGGGTATACTGGTGGGTGTGGTAAAAATAGTGTGGGTCTAGGGGTGGGTGTGGCAAAAATAGCGTGAGTCTAGGGGTGGGTGTGGTGTAACAAAACAATATCTTCTGCTGAGGTAAGCCTACTTAGAAGTCCAGGAAATCGTGCTTGTACTTAAACAAAATTAATATGTAATTATTTACCGAAGGTACTATAGTTCTAATAAAAAAATAATGAATGTCTAGATCAATTTTATTTAGAACTTTAGAAATTTTTATGAATATCTATAACAACTTTGAACATATGACAGTGTCTCATTAAGTGATGTCATCTCACCACATTTCTAATGCATGCCAAAATTTCCCAGCTCGTTCGTAACTTGGGTTGTTCGTACTCCGAGACCCTATCAACCAAACAGCTTCAGACTGTGACTGATTTGCCTTATACCTTATGCATTTTGCTAAGTTCTCCAGCTGCGATCTAACATCTAGTCATTGATTGTCAACACATTACCGCTTCAGAGACTTAATTTTCCTGTGTATTCTAGCAGCGTTTGGTCTTTAAACTTTTGAATGTCAAGCATTGAGCTTTGTTTTCCAGAAAATTTTGGGAATTTTTTCCAATAAAACGTCATATTTTTTTGTGCAATACTATCCAAATGTATTTAAAATTTATTGTGCTAAATTTATAATTAGTACAATTACGTATGCTTTTTTAAAAACTGTTTCAAACAATAAACTCATTGAAATATAATTGCCTCTAGAGTTCTCTATTGTGTTTAATTGTGGTGTAATTGTGGTGTAATGGTGGTGTAATGGCCACTTAATGAAAAAAATTGGCTTCAAAACTCGCCCAAAGTGTGCAAGTTTTGAGTGCTTAAACAGCCGTAATGATGTTGACCTACATTCAGACTTTCAGAAAACAAAACCAGTATATCATTTCCTGTTGTTGTTTTTTTATATGTGTATCTTATTGATAATTTGATACATACACCCTCAAGATACATAAAGATAGCTAACATGCAGGAGATTATGGTACTGACTACAACAAAATGTGTAAAAAAAAAAAACTTTTCGGACGTGTAAAAACTTTATTTTTACAAATCGAAGTTAATCATTCTACTTGAGCTATCAACTCAAATGGTTATATTGTATGCACACTGAGCTTGTTTTAAACATGGGCAAAATGTTAGGATAATATCCTATGTGTGAATATCGGAATGTTAGGATAATATCCTATGTGTGAATTTCGGGATGTTAATATAATATCCTATGTGTGAATATCGGAATGTTAGGATAATATCCCATTTGTGATTTTCGGAATGTTAGGATAATATCTTATGTGTGAATATCGGAATGTTAGGATAATATCCTATGTGTGAATATCGGAATGTTAGGATAATATCCTATGTGTGAATATCGGAATGACTGATACCTGAATGGCAAATCTAAACGAGAGGCTGTATCAACAACTGGTTAGATTCTAGCGAGTGTCGACCGTTGCGGTGGCCTCATGTATCTTGGCACAAAAGAGAAAGGCTGATGATGATGCTGACGACACATGCTGGTATGTCTCAGACTTGTGACACTGACATCCATCTGTCAGTGTGACACCTGGAGGAAGTGACACAATGGTTCTACTCACACGTTAGGTTCTCTCTATGTGTGTCACACAAGCTACACCGTCAGCCACCATGGTCTACATCGACTCAGGCCGACTCTACTCCACCTAGACATAGAGCTGACAAGATATTTTAATTTTAGATACAAAATAGTCATAGCTACACCGTCATAAATTTGAATGAAAGCTACAATAAAATTCTTATTTTCACAAAGATGAGACTTGAGACAAAACATTTTTAACATTGGCGTCTTAATTATTTTAAATACAATTAATATAATTTTTTTTTAAATAATCAGAAGCTAAAATTTCTGCAATATTAGGGGCTGACAACGGGTGAAATCGAAATGACAGTGTGTGGGTGAGGAGTGAGGAGATATTGACGTATATAATATAGTTTGTGATTAGTGTTTAGCTGTTTCTGTTACTTTTCTCGCCTCGTCATACAAAGGTAGCTCTGTCAACAACAGGTGAACTCTACTCCCTCTCTGATGGTCTGGTTTGAACCTGTACATCACTTGACATTTTCGAGCTGACATTAATCGTGTGTCGCTTCCATCAGAATTTAAGTACAAAAACTGCTAGTTTCACAACACATCGACGTGATAGTATTAAACTACTGAGGTGTCAATTTTACAATGTTTCACGTCCATGACAAACTAGGAATTAAACAAAACCGTACATGAATCAACAATGAATCAATCTTGGGCCACAATAAACTTACGTTGAATTTGGAACATACACCTATATATGAAGCTTTATTTCTCAGGTACAGTTGTTACTGTTTATAATGTTTAAGCTAAATTTTAAATTTATATCAGTCTTAGTTTAGTTTACAATTTATTTAAGAAAATGTGAATGATGGGAGAGAATCGGGCAAACCGAAATATTTCTACAAAATGTTGGATTATCTCCCTGCTCTTGTTAAATCAATTAAATAGTTCAGGGATCGAATTTTCCATTTATTCTTTTAAAAAAAGAATCAAGGAAAAATAGGAATGGTTACCATTGAAGCGTTGTATGGTTATAATCGCCTTAAGATCTCGACCCATACGATGGGGGTGCAGGGCGGATGGGGATGAAGGGGAGGGATAGTTGACTTTATCGCTGGTCTGTGGGGCACGTCATGGAGTTTTACTTGATGCCACGCTGTGTCGGGCCCCGCAAGTGGTCATTGTTAGGTCATAATTAGTAGTGGCTAGTACATTGGCACTACTAGCGTATGTTAGCAGTGGCTAGTACATTGGCTCTACTAGCGTAAGTTAGCGCTGGCTAGTGCATTGGCTCTACTAGCGTATGCTAGCAGTGGCTATTACATTGGCTCTAGTAGCGTATGTTAGCAGTGGCTAGTACATTGGCTCTACTAGCGTATGTTAGCAGTGGCTAGTACATTGGCTCTACTAGCGTATGTTAGCAGTGGCTAGTACATTGGCTCTAGTAGCGTATGTTAGCAGTGGCTAGTACATTGGCTCTGCTAGCGTATGTTAGCAGTGGCTAGTACATTGGCTCTAGTAGCGTATGTTAGCAGTGGCTAGTACATTGGCTCTACTAGCGTATGTTAGCACTGGCTAGTACATTGGTACTACTAGCGTATGTTAGCAGTGGCTAGTACATTGGCAATACTAGCGTATGTTAGCAGTCGCTCAAATTTCGGCATTACTAACGTTTAATAGAAGTGACTGGAACATTTGCATTACTATTATTATTATTTCCTTTATTTCAAGCCGGAAAATAGAATATGAAGCCAAGTGTTTGTGCAGTTAGCAGTGTTTAAAGAGGCGAGTGGTTGGCTAACTTGGCTTACATGTGGTAGGCTTACACGTGGTAGGCTTATATGTGGTAGGCTTACATGTGGGTGTCATACATGTGGTTGGCTTACTTGGCTTACATGTGGTTGGTTTACATGTGGTGGGTTACGTGTGGTTGGCTTACATGTGGTTGGCTTACATGTGGTTGGTTTACATGTGGTAGGTTTACATCTGGTAGGCTTACATGTGGTAGGCTTGCATGTGGTAGGCTTACATGTGGTGGGCTTACATGTGGTTATTTACATGTGATGGGCTTACATGTGGTTGTTTACATGTGGTTGGCTTACATGTGGTAGGCTTGCATGTGGTAGGCTTACATGTGGTGGGCTTACATGTGGTTATTTACATGTGATGGGCTTACATGTGGTTGTTTACATGTGGTTGGCTTACATGTGGTTGGCTTACATGTGGTAGGCTTACATGTGGTAGGCTTACATGTGGTAGGCTTACATGTGGTAGGCTTACATGTGGTTGGCCTACATTCAAGAAACATTTCAAATACTCCAGTGAGCTTGACGTGCTAGTCCTGTGTCCTGCTGGGGTATGGCCCGCCAACCAAAGATCCATAGAGCCCTCTGTCCTGCTGGGGTATGGGACGCCAACCAAAGATCTCCAGTCCTCTGTCCTGCTGGGGTATGGGCCGCCAACCAAAGATCTCCTGAGTCCTCTGTCCTACTGGGGTATGGGCCGCCAACCAAAGATCATGTGTCATTTCCTTAACCTGCCTACAGTTGTAGCCCATCCTTTTCCGGTTCAAAGTCCCGTCACCAGTTGTTTCTAGATCGACCTCTTTTACACTTTCCGGGAGGGTTCAACTGCAATACCTGCCTGGTGCTATTGGTTGGCTGTCTGCGCAATGTGTGGCCTATTCCCCCCCCCTCTACTTAATTTGTTTGTAGCAAGCAGCAGAGTTGAAACAAGTCTAATCTGTCTATTGTTATCTCCCCTCTCAGCTTTCAGCTTGTCAACAACACTCGTGATTTAAAGTTCACTCACTCTGATAGTCATCACTGCCGCCTAGTTACTTCCCCTTTTTGTGTAGCCATCTACAAAATATTATCTAATGACTAGTTTTATACCAAATTATATTCAATGTTAGCCATTATTGTGTTGTATGGGGCAGTTAACAATGTGCAACACGTGGAAGATATGGCCTAAAAGGAAATGAACCAAAATCGATATTTGGCCACAAAACAACAACTGACAGACCAGACAAAAAAACCCGGTGGCTTATGGAGAAACGTGGAAATGGAATGTCATGAGATTTCATTCAAGTGAACCACTAGTCCTGTCCTCACCCGTCCTTCGTGAGCGTGCGTCTCTGTAGAAATTTGAAAATATTTGGCATGTTTTTCATTTATTCTCTTCTATTTTTATTTTACTGTTTTTCTTTGACAAACAGAATTTACGGTTAAATTGTATTTTTAAAAAATCAGTTGTCCATTATCATATTGTAGCCATTTCATCAGTCTTTCAATAGATTAAAAGTAATCAATGCAATCAATGTCAAAATCCAATTTCAATTTTAATTCTGTTTAAGCTCTTTAAAACTTCCTTTTAGCTGTCGTCGGCATTAACAATGCTTTTAAGTAGCGCCATTTTTTTTTAAAACTTGGACTGGATGTGAATTGTGTGTGAGTTTTTCATGCGGTGGATGGGATCGATCTCCCAGAGCCACGGGACTGGGGACGGGGAGATCGGTTTCAGACGGTACGGAGCGCGCGCTGGCTGGGGGATACAGGGGCTTTTGTACCCGAGCCGTCCGCCTCGATTGCTGGGGAAAAAGTAGCGCTTAAATGGCGGGAGTTTGACAAAGGCGGGAGGGATCTGCTTGGATAGCGGTTAGTTGAGAATTTGGATACATCTCCAAGTCTTGGACGGTGCTGGACCGGTAAGTAAGAAAAATTTACCTGTCTTTGTCTTGCCTGTCTTAGTCTCTAGACCGGTATGTCAGAATAATTTACCTGTCTTTGTATTACCTGTGTGGGTCACTAGACAGGTAAATCAGAAGAATATAAACTTCTGGTTGCCATGCTTGTGTTGCGGTCGCTGTCTCCATTAGACTGACCATGGGACTTGTTTAATAGTAAGGAAACACGTCACAATAACATAAAAACACAGTGACAACAAGATACATAGGGCAAGTGACAAAATCTAAACAACAATAGCCGTAGTGCCAAGTGTCTAGCACGTGTCCTATATTTATAAATAGTTCACCTCTCTTTAACTTTATGATGTTCCGCTGTGCCATATTACACCTTATCACTGCACGTATGATGTTCCATTAAACCAGGGGTCTCCAAACTACGGCCCGCGGGCCGGATGCGGCCCGCGATGTCCTCTCATCCGGCCCGCGGAGATCTTTTTGACCACGGGAAAAACCGTTTGTTGCTGATGGATGAGGAACCTTGTCCAGAAAAATCAAAGAAGAAACTGGCCCCCGAATTGAAATTTGATAGTTAATGCGGCCCTCGGACTGAAAAGTTTGGAGACCCCTGCATTAAACCATTTGCTTATAATTTTTAGCCGATCGCTTTCATAAACCATCGATTGAAGTGTTTTACAAGTGGGGAATTTAATGATTTTACTTCATCCCTTTTAGTTAGTGGATTAATTTGTGGTGATTACATTGATTTATTCATTTATAAAAATCGTATCCGTCATCCTACTCTATATAAACACCGTATCCGTCTTCCTATTCTATATAAACATCGTATCCGTCATCCTACTCAACTGTATATTAACATCGTATCCGTCATCCTACTCTATATAAACATCGTATCCGTCATCCTACTCTATATAAACATCGTATCCGTCATCCTACTCTATATAAACATCGTATCCGTCATCCTACTCTAAACACCTTATCCGTCATTCCTACTCTAAACATCGTATCCGTCATCCTACTCTATATAAACATCGTATCCGTCATCCTACTCTAAACACCGTATCCTTCATCCTACCTTATATAACAACGTATCCGTCATCCTACTCTAAACACTGTATCCGTCATCCTACTCTATATAAACACCGTATCCGTCATCCTACTCTATATAAACATCGTATCTGGTAGTATACGGCTTTCTACCAATTGATCTCGTCTTGTGATACTATAATTCCAGTTCAGCGAGGAAGGTCTGTCCCAGTCACCCCCCCTCCCCACCCCACCACCCTCACCCCACCGTCAGCTCGTAGGATCCACAACCCCTGCCAATACTCTGTACAACGTTAGGACGGGGATAGACCGGTCCCTAACAGGCTCAGGAAACAATGTCTACACACAAAAATTAGTCTAATAAAAAAATATAAGTTTGTAAATCAAATTATTCCTTTCATAAAGATACACGTAAAATATATAAGAATTCGTTCACGCTAGCTATGGTCATGTCACTTCACAATACATTAAGTAAAACTTACATTTCGAACTTTTGTAAAAAATTTAGTTCCATTTAGTTCCATTCAACACAGGGTACATCATTTTAAGCAAGCATGGTTCAAGATTTGTTATTTATATGATACAAGTCCGAACGTCACGGTTCAGCTACGTTGTTTTTATGCCCTCTATTTTATACCATACCATTTATTTTATGCCCTCTATTTTAACACGTTTTTCTTAACTCAGCTTCGCGTTTGTGGATTTGTTTGTTTGTTGTTAAAATTGACATCGAAAATTAGCCCACTTCTGATTGCTCTACAGATCTGAAATTTGGCATACAGGCTACTTTCGCCTAACAATTTCAGATGCAATCATAAAAACTAGCAATTAGAGACCGTAATTAGCTTAATTTAATTACGCCCCAAGGACCATAAAATTGAGGACATGATTTCTAAAGATACCGACAAGACTGGAGGCTTATAGACACAGTTACTTCGGCCCCAATCGATGTGAGCGCGCTGGCCGTGATCGTATAGTGGTTAGTACTTCGCGTTGTGGCCGCGACAACCCAGGTTCGAATCCTGGTCGCTCAAGATTTTTTTAGTCCGTGTATTTATAAACACTTAGTCAAGTCATACTTAATCAAGTCATTAGATAAAGTAGAAAATAAACTATATAAACAACTTTTTTAAAAACCACGTTTTTCTTGTGGACTAAAAAGTAGAAAATAAATTTTTCTTTTGTGCTTCCTCGAGCTGTGCAGGTTCTTGTGATGACTGACAAAAAACGTGGGTCGGGCAGATGGGTCGGGAAATTTGATGGTGAACGTACCCACGTTTTTTGTCAGTCATCACAAGAACCTGCACAGCTCGAGGAAGCACAAAAGAAAAATTTATTTTCTACTTTTTAGTCCACAAGAAAAACGTGGTTTTTAAAAAAGTTTTTTTTAAGTATTTTATTATAACTTTGTATCTTTCCAAATTTTCGCCCGAGGCCAGAGTGCGTGTGCAGCCTGATCCACCCACCCCCCCCCCCCCCCCCCCCCCCGCTCCCCTGCAACAAATGGCATCATTAAAGAAACATTGTCTGCCGACCTGGTGAAATCTCAGGCAGCGATGTTTCGTGAAATACGGACGTCACAGACATCGCCCAAATCGATGACAGCACCCCCCCCCCTGCCTGAACACTCCAGCTATTTTTTACACAACCAAACATGGTTAAATTATTTAGGTATTGAACAATTTATCTAAACATCTATTGTAAAAAGTAACGTCAATTTTAAAGGTTGCCAACCTTTGTTTATGAATAACATAATGACAGCTATTTGTGTCAAATGAAATCAAATAGTGGCATTTGTAGATCCAATCTGTTTCAATACACGTTTCATCTAATCTGAGGCTAGAAATAGCCTACAAGAAAGAAAACCAATCGAGTCTAAGCGGTGTCTCTATGAATGTTTAAAGCGACAAATTTTATTGAATTAACCCTTCTCTCTGTGTGAGTATAAAATGTAAATGTTGGTTAAAAGAGTTAATAGAACATAGGGTCTAAATTTAGAATTGTAGTTCTTATTCCAATTCTTTCTTGTGTAGTTGTGTGTATGTGTGTGTGTGTGTGCTGGCGTTTGTGCTGGCGTGTGGTGTATGTGTGTGTTTGTGTGTGTGTGCTGACATGTGGTGTATGTGCGTATTCCATGTCATATCAAACCTATATTTCCGTTACTTGATATTTGGTGTCCGGGATTTAATTATTCCAATTTTGATTTAACTATTTCAATTTTGATTTAATTATTCCTATTTTGATTTAATTATCCCAATTTTGATTACACAAATAAGATTTTAATAATCCATGCTCAAGCATCGAAATCCGATCCCCCCCCCCCCCTTCTCCTCAACAATCCCATTTGATCCCAGTTTGCCTACATAAAACCTACTTCTATGCTACTGGTGTTAAAACTAATGCTATCACCCAACAGGGCTAGGAACCATGTTACAGAATGCAGACTTGCTGATACTTGGATACACCTGTCTCTTATTTTTGGTAGGTGAACTTTTTTCAATTAAGCACATTTTTAATTAGGCAATGTTTTGTTTAGTAAATGTTTAAAAAACATTTTCGTTAATATTTTATTATTTTGTAGATTATAATAAAAGGGTGCTTTTCAAAGCTGAGTTAAGTTTATCTTGGTTAATTAACTTTAGTAGTCGTTTAAGATTTGGACCCATTATGCATGACATGTAATAAGCAGCCTCTATCTAGAAGTTAAGATTTCAATTGTTCTGAAACTTTAAATCCGTGTGACCAAATCGCACTTAAAATCGTCAGCCTCGAAAGTTCGAGACGTTTAATCTAATGCGGATTTCTTGTTGAGCTAGCCCGTAATTAAATAATAGAAAAATCTTTTAAGATTCTGACCCCGGGAATTTTTCAACTCCAATTAGCGTAATTAGCGTAATTGCTCCCGAGCACGCTAGCCCGACAGCCCGGAGTGATTCGCCGATCGAACGTTAAATCCATCCGCCACTAATTGCTGAAGCGTGACTGTCACGCTTGATTCGGCCTTCATCACCATTAGCGGTTTAAAAATATCTAGAATCTTAGTTAAGGAAAATAACTATATGCGATTTTAAAAATACTTTAATCTAATGTCCGTATATAACATTTAAACTACACTATAAAATAAAATAAGGATATCATTAAAACACAATAACTTATTAAAAACTTGAAATTTTTAAAAATCGTTAACTTTTTTTTTCCTTTTTTGGATTCCTCATACATTTTGTGCTACGAGTTTTGCATGCATTATCAAATCTGTTAAAATGTTTATTTTCATTTATAAAGCTTTTCTTTTTTGCTAGTGATTTAAGAGTAACGACTTTTGAAAAAAAATGCCAAAAGCAATGATTGTCATTAAAACCACGACAACATGATTAGAGACACGAAGAGACATGAATAGAGTTATTATCGTCAAAATGTCACTGTAACAACGGCTTAATTATGTGGCTCTCTTGTTTGTTTTTTTGTAGCTATTGTGTTACAGATGAAGGAATGTGGGTCCTACCCTGATTACTACCACCAGTTTTTTGTTTGTTACAGGTGAAGGAATGTGGGTCCCACCCTGATTATTACCACCAGTTTTATTTTGTGATACAGATGAAGGAATGCGGGTCCCACCCCATTATTACCAACAGTTTTTCTTTTGTGTTACAGATGAAAGAATGCGGGTCCCATCCCGATTATTACCACCAGTTTTATTTTGTGTTACAAATGAAGGAATGCGGGTCCCACCCTGATTATTACCACCAGTTTTATTTTGTGTTACAGATGAAGGAATGCGGGTCCCACCCCATTATTACCAACAGTTTTTCTTTTGTGTTACAGATGAAAGAATGCGGGTCCCATCCCGACTATTACCACCAGTTTTATTTTGTGTTACAGATGAAGGAATGCGGGTCCCACCCCATTATTACCAACAGTTTTTCTTTTGTGTTACAGATGAAGGAATGCGGGTCCCACCCCGATTACTACCACCAGTTTTATTTTGTGTTTACAGATGAAGGAATGCGGGTCCCACCCTGATTATTACCACCAGTTTTATTTTGTGTTACAGATGAAGGAATGCGGGTCCCATCCCGATTATTACCACCAATATTTTTTGTGTTACAGATGAAGGAATGCGGGTCCCACCCTGATTACTACCACCAGTTTTTTGTGTTACAGATGAAGGAATGTGGGTCCCACCCCATTATTACCACCAGTATGTTTTGTGTTACAGATGAAGGAATGCGGGTCCCACCCTGATTATTACCACCAGTTTTTTGTTTGTTACAGATGAAGGAATGCGGGTCCCACCCCATTATTACCATCATTTTTTTGTATTACAGATGAAGGAATGCGGGTCCCACCCTGATTATTACCACCAGTTTTTTGTTTGTTACAGATGAAGGAATGTGGGTCCCACCCTGATTATTACCACCAATCTTCTTCCTCGTGGCTGCTGCTGGACAGGGGGACCCTGTGCAATTTGTGGGAACAAACAGGGTGCCGTGAGGGGGAATGCTGCGTCAAAGAGGTGAGGCTTAGTGTAGCTTCTCATACGTCCGCGCCATTTAGTCTCACAAACCGTTCATTACACTGGGATATAGGAGTTGGGACATAGAACATCTTGTCAAAAAGTCTTGTCTTTTAATCTCTACAATCTGAACATCAATTTAGTCTATCTCGTTCTATGTTGTATTATTGTCAAGAATGTCTATATCGAATTCTCGTGAACTTAGACGTAGGGGTATCCATTAGCTGAAGCAGCGTTAATTTATCGCCAACAACACCGCCTAATATAACCAGCGTTCATTTATAGCTACCAACACCGTCTAATATAACCAGCGTTAATTTATCGCCACCACCGTCTCATATGACCAGCGTTATTTTATACCCTTAGATATCGTGCAACCCAACCTGTTATTTTATACCCTTAAACATCGTGTAACCCAACCTATTATTTTATACCTTTAACCATCGTGTAACCCAACATGTTATTTTATACCCTTAGACATCGTGTAACCCAACATGATATTTTATACCTACAGACATCCTCTAGCATCAGCAGGCATGTAGCAATTTATTCCAGAGATGATCCCAAGATTTATCTTTCTATTTTAACCGTCATTAACGTCCATGCAACTTGGGCTCGTGGGAGACCGTATTGATCCTGTACACCGTACAGTGGGGTGGGGGGGGGGGGGAGGGGGGGGGGAGGGGGGGGGGGTAGAACTTGCGGGATACATATTGCTGTCTTGTATTAAAAAAAATCCTAGTTCTAAGGAAATTTTTTTTTTGTCTAAGCCATCTTTCTCTAACGTCATTAATTGCTCCAACACTTACGTGGTAATCGGTTTACTGAGAACACTAAACACTCCTCTACACCGTCGGAATTAAGGCGATTTTCTGCAGAGGGGAGGCTCGTAGATCGATGGATGAAGAATATGCAATTCTGTTAACAAGCTTAACCCAGCTGGGAAGGTCTTTTTGAAGGGGTCTTTGTTAAGGGGGTCTTTGCCATGTGAATTGAGGAATTAGGGAAGATTGGGTTATTAGGCTATTTTGGGGGTAATTAGGTTACTCCATGTGAGCTTAAAAAGATGACGAATCTTTCAGTTGTAGTTGTATTATTTTTATTTGATTAGTGTATTATTCGTTTTAATGTAATTTTTAAAAAGTAGTTTTAAAACTTTAAAAAGTTCTTTTTATCTGTTTGTTTTAAGTGTTTGCATATACTGTTTGCTTTTACAGTTTTTTAAAAGCTGTTTGTTTTTAAGATAAATATTTATTTTACAGCCAGTTTATTGTAGCTGTCGTTAGTGTGTATGACATTCTACTCCAGTGCTACATATCGTTTTTTGTGTATCCTGCAATGATTGCTAATAATAAGTTATAAAATGATGACTGTGATTTGTGTATATGCAACCTATGCTCACGTTCCTAGCTGTGTTGTTAACCTACATTTAAATTATTTTGCAATCTTAAGTCAGCGCCAGGCCAACATCTATTTATATCTTTTGTAAACAAACACTAATTGTGTTATTACTTTTCTACCAGTGAAACACGATCAATTTGTTGAAACACAGCACAAAAACTCGCTTTACTATGATTACATACTGTCGATCTAAAACTGTACGTATCATGTATCAAAATTATCTAAGCTGATGATAGCTTTAAACTAGTTACGTGGATTATTGCTGGTTGGTAAACGATTATCTTTGTTTCCCGTTCGTGCCCATAATACACCAGGCAGATGAAGTAGAGTTCATCTGTTTCAAATACGTCAGCATATAGAAGGGTAGTGTGGTCAGCTCCATGCCCCGCCGCCTCAGTGGTCATTACTTGGACGTGATCTGTTCTATTACTTTAGTGTACACTAGCGCGTGTCATTTATTTAATCATCTGGAGGTCATGTTTATTTGGTCTCATGGCTTGACCAGACTCCAGGCTAAACAGGTCACACAGGCAGGACTGTTTATCCAAGTATTCGTCCTTGTAATCAGTTTTGTTGGTTTTCCATTTTCATTCAGCCGACTAGTGAAGCTGTTCTAGTGAAGCCGAATAATGAAGCGATAACAACTAGTTTAATCTCTGTGTGTATTTTTGTGTGACTTGCATTAATCAAGTCTGAGGATTAGTTTCACCACCTTCATTACCCCTTCCATAATGTTTCTGTTCTCAAGTGTTCCATTGATCCAGTGTTTCCTTGATGAAATGTTCCGTTTCGCCAATTTTACTTTGTTTTAGCATTCGTTCGCTTTCATATTTCGTTGCACACAAAAATTTCTTGTTACTGTATTCCTCTGCTCCAATATTCAATTACCCTAATATTTTACTTACTCCTTTCTCCAATATTCTTTTGCTTCAATATTCCCTAGCTCCAATATTCCCTAGCTCCAATATTCCCTTGCCCCAACAATACCTTTCTCCAATATTCCTTGCTTGAATGTTCCCTTGCTCCAATATTCCCTTGCTCCAATATTCCCTTGTTCCAATATTCCCCTACTCCAATATTCCCTTGCTTCAATATTCCCTTGCTCCAATATTCCCTTGCTCCAATATTCCCTTGCTCCACTGTTCCATTGTCCCAATGTTCCCTTGTTCCAATATTCCCTTGCTCCAACATTCCCCTACTCCAATATTCCCCTACTCCAACATTCCCTTGCTCCAACATTCCCATGCCCCAATATACCCCTACTCCATATTCCCTTGCTCCGATATTCCCTTGCTCCAATGTTCCCTTGCTCCAATATTCCCCTGCTCCAATATTCCCTTGCTCCAATGTTCCCTTGCTCCAATGTTCCCTTGCTCCAATGTTCCCTTGCTCCAACATTCCCCTGCTCCAATATACCCCTGCTCCAATATACCCCTGCTCCAATATACCCCCGTGGATCAGCCAGACGACAGACCTATCCTAGCCAGACTGGAACAAGTTAGTAAATTGCGTGCTTGTACCAATTTCTCCCCGATTACTGTTTGGCTGAAATTAATCGATACTAGCAGAAACTACCGGTAGGGGGCGCAGCGCGGAAATTCAATGAGAAACAAACTGGTAATCTGTCTTTATGTCTGTCCGACGTACGACAAACTGGTAATCTGTCTTTATGCTGTCCGTCATTCAACAAACTGGTAATCTGTCTTTATGTCTGTCCGACGTACGACAAACTGGTAATCTGTCTTTATGCTGTCCGTCATACAAAAATGGTAATCTGTCTTTATGCTGTCCGTCATTCAACAAACTGGTAATCTGTCTTTATGTCTGTCCGACGTACGACAAACTGGTAATCTGTCTTTATGTCTGTCCGACGTACGACAAACTGGTAATCTGTCTTTATGTCTGTCCGACGTACGACAAACTGGTAATCTGTCTTTATGCTGTCCGTCATACAAAAATGGTAATCTGTCTTTATGCTGTCCGTCATACAAAAATGGTAATCTGTCTTTATGCTGTCCGTCATACAAAAATGGTAATCTGTCTTTATGCTGTCCGTCATACAAAAATGGTAATCTGTCTTTATGCTGTCCGTCATACAAAAATGGTAATCTGTCTTTATGCTGTCCGTCATTCAACAAACTGGTAATCTGTCTTTATGCTGTCCGTCATACGACAAACTGGTAATCTGTCTTTATGCTGTCCGTCATACAAACTGGTAATCTGTCTTTATGATGTCCGTCATTTCCAATGAAATCGGGCTATAGAGATATTTTAATTATTATTTTGATACTTAAATGTTTTGAAATGAAATTGAACTGCGTTGGAAAAAAAGAATTGCGCACCAAATTAAAAAAAAAACAATGCGCATATAACAGAGCAAACATTAGTGCTTTATAAAAGAAACACTAATTAACTTTAAAAAGTTAATTAGACATTTAACTAAGTCGCCATTTATGTCACAACGCAATGTCATCGAACGTTGACCTTCTTGAAAAGTTTGAAAGAAATCGGCAGGAACACGTTTTCCGGTTACCGGAAATCATCTAAAACATGTCAGAAACCAGCGAATACTGTCTTATATTTATGTCCCCTTTACTGAAACGGCAGCCTACTCAAGTTACCAGATATAGTGTAATGTACCAACTCCGGATATCGAAAGTCACTTAAAAATTTAAAGTAATCCAAATGTAAGATTTGTTTTACTTATATTTGAAATTTCGTCTACCTAAATAAAATAGTATTCACATTATCGTGCCCCTGCGGAAATACAGTAAAGAGCCACTTCCTGTAATCAGAAATCGTCCAAATGTAAAATAGAAACATGTGCATACAATGTAATACTTAAAGTGAAATTTCGTTCACGTACTTTAACTTTACTGAATTTAACAGCTTTTGAGAAACTGGTAATAGAGTTAAAACCACTTCCGGTCCAAAGTTGATAGAAAACTACAAATTTGATAAATAATAAACTTTGTCAACATAGCTGCTAAGGTGCTCAAATTATCGTATTCACATATCGTGTTCACATACAGACACAGAAAAAATTAAGTTAAGACAGTTCAGTAAAAGCACTTTTAAAATATGTGAGCTACGATAATTCAGTAAAACCACTTTTAATACCAGAGTCAAGACAGTTCAGTAAAACCACTTTTAATACCAGAGTCAAGACAGTTCAGTAAAACCACTTTTAATACCAGAGTCAAGACAGTTCAGTAAAACCACTTTTCCCCCCGTGGGCTAGGACAGTGCCATGAATGTTTACAGTGCCTGAAGAACCAGCTGTCTATCAATGAGACGGCTGTGAGAATGGAAGAGGTTCCTGTACAAAAAGTGCATTGAAAAAGAGAAAATCGGAATGTGCTTTAACACCCTGGGGTGGATAATGTAGAAAGGAAACAAAACAGTAGATGTAGTTGTACCGTCTCCCATCTCAGTGGTGACAGACAACACATCGGACTAAGACAGGAGGAGGGGGTGAGATGTGAAGTGGGGTGGGGGTGTGGAAGATTATTTTTTGTTGTGGTGAAATTATATTCAGTCTGGATTTTTCCTGTCAAAACTGACTCTGTATGTTGGATGTGTAAATATGTTGTTAGTCA